CAATAAAAATTAGTTAACTCCACTCCTATTCTCACTTATACCAAACTTCATTATTAAAAATCAAGCATGCTTTTAAAATAGAGATTAATTAATTGATAATTTTATTAATGGAAATGGACATTTAATATTTAACGTATATCAATGTTGCCCATAACTAAAATTTTAATATCATCAATAATTTTTTTCTTAGCAAATGTCCTCATTATTGATAATCAAGATATTTCTTTAAGTAAAATAGATATTATAATTTTATGGTAGATTTTTATAATTTGGTTATTGTAAATGAGTGAACAATTTACTATATATATATATATATGTATAATTCTTGCATGAAAATACTTGAGAACCATCAATCGGTTTAAAGCTAATTTTTAAAATCATTTTACCGAACTTTACAATAGCGCTGGCCACGGCAAACGTAGATGTAGGGTTTGAATTTTTTCCAAATTCTAATTATTATATTAAGTTGCTGGTTTTTCCAAATTATTAAATCACTTTACTTAGTACAGTTATGATTATGTCACACGATTTAATCTTTATTTTTTCCATTTTCACACGTAATGGAATTTTGCTACCAAAATGTGAAACTCATTGTTAGACTGAGCAAAATTAGGTGAGGGGGGAAAATCATGATCAAATCGTGTTCAAGGAAAACGACAAGGGAAGGATTTGATGGCAGTAGCTGGAAAGTTGGCATGGATTTCTTTTCCAAGTTTCACCACCAACAAAGGGATGACTAGTTTATTTTATTGAAAGAGTTTTACGCAAAACACTTCTACAAAATAGTTAGAAAAGTGATATTTATATTTAGATTAATTAATTTTTTATTTGTAAATGAGTTCAAAATATTATAATCTTTTATAATAGGAGTCCAATACTTAATTAAATCATTTAATTTAGTCTTTAGAGACTAAAAACCTAATGTATGATTTAAGTTTAATTTAAATCATCACATTTTTAATTTAATTCATAATGCAATGTTTGTTTGTAATCGATTAGGTTGTTAACATATTGACAATAAAACTGAATTATTATTTTATTAATTAATTTAAATAAATTATATTTATTTTAAATTAATTAATTAAATTTTATAAATTAAGATTGGCATCTAGTATTGCATCATGGCCTTTAATTGTTAAGAAAGTTAAAAAATTTTTGACAACTTTTCAGTGTATAGTCTATCAGTGTAATTAAATCTCTTATCATAAATCTCAAAGATGATAAGAACATAGTACCTATAAAGATGATATCAAAGTATAGCGCTTCACATGCAAGACAACCTAGTGTTTTAAGTTTAAGGAGTATTTACACAACTAACACATAAAAAGTTTTGCATAGGCAATAAAGTGAAATATCCAATACATTTTTCATGTTGAGTCATATTTAATGAACTTGCTCTCCAAAGGCAAGTACCCACATGCTAGTTTTAAATATCTCTATACTTCAATGTATAAGATCGGTTGCTTAATTTACAAATAAAGATATAGATTATGCCGATCTTTGAGCATTATCAATATCTGGTCTTGATAATACAATAATCATGAACTTTTATAAATAAAGTTTTGATATAGAGAAATTTCATAATTGTATCTCTAACAATTTTTTTACAAGATATATATAGTTCCATGGACTTGTTGAGTTTTTTGAATTTGCAAAAAAACTCAAAGAAGAATAGAGAAAATAGAATCAAATGAAAGAAAGAGAGCTCAAACTTTTCAATTGGAATTGATTTCTCACACTAATTAATTCCATAGTTTTTGGTTTTTACACAAGCATTTGAAAACTAAACAATCGAGCTTAGATCTAACCTCAATAAAAGCACATATTGAAAACTAGGATTTAAAAACAAATAGCACAAAAACCAACCATGGATCCTTGTGCACTACAATAGTAAAAGTAACAAAAAAACAAATTTGCTATTAAGTTAGGAAAAGAAGAAGAGATCAAAACGACGCAAAGCAGATGCGTCTTGCAACCAAGAAAAAATGAAAAGACATGGACAACCACCATATAACAACTAACCAAATACAAAGTTTATTTAAATGACCTCCCTACCTTGCGCTTTATACTAACTAAATTGATAAGGTAAAAATAACACCGTATTGCCTCCAAAGCTAAGTCTTCAATCTTCAAATGGTCATTAACTCTTGCCAAACCATTTCTTCAATATAAGCCTTTCATCCATACTTCAATCACTTTTCCAACAAGACTTCATCGTCATAAGCATGAATAATGATTAAAGTATAAATATATAGATAAAAAATTATTTTTATGTTATTATAAATAATAAAATATCATACATGAATATTTTAAATTGTAACTTCCAAATAACCATAAATTGACTTATAGGGCTCACACAAAAAAAAAAACGCTCAGGTAAAAACTTTTTATTACTATCTCAAATACTATACCAGCGTATTCCATTTGTATCAAACAATGAAATTTGCAAGGCTTTGACTAGTAGGGAAAAAATAAAGGGGTTTTTTTTTAAATACCCTTCATACGTAAGGTATTTTTGAAAATAGCATTTTTTATAATTTTAACTATTTTTAGCTAAAAGAAATTAATTTTAAACAAAATTACCCTTAATGAAACCGATCCATATGTTTAAATACACGCCTCAGATCGACTCATATCTTTTGACCTTTCTTCACCAGACCATTCATATTTAGAGTATTCCTTACTAGAAAGAAAACTTTTGAGCATTTTGAACATTTTAGAATGATTTTTGATACACGAAAATAAATCTTTGAGCATTTTAAGTATTTTGAAGGAGTTTTTGATACATGAAGAAAACCCTTTAAGCATTTTGAGCATTCTTTTTCAAGTAGGCATATTTGTTGATTATATTGTTAAATGAAATATGATGTATTATTTGAAATTGTTGATTTTGTTAAATGAAATTTAATAGTTTTA